AGAAGTGACAAAACAATAACCACAAAATGTTGTGTTTACCTTCTGATTGTTATGCTTCTGAGTGAAGATCAAACTTCGACAAAGTATCCGTTTCAAGATCCCTCTTGGTGGTGAAAAGTTTGACACAAGAAAATGATGCGAGTCGGCGTGGTTCCTTCTAAGTACCAAAGAATCTGCAATAGGAATCAACTTATAAATTCAAGTCCTTCAAAGTGCTTAAGAAGTGTTGGCATGGTTCCTTTTAAGTACCAAATAATGTACAACAGGAATCAACTTATAAATTCAAGTCCTTCAAAGTGCCGAAGAAGTGTTGGCATGGTTCCTCCTAAGTACCAAAGAATCTTCAACAGGAATCAACTTCCAAATTCAAGTCCTTCAAAGTGCTTAAGATGTGTTGGCATTGATCAATTTAATTGCAACACAGAGTCTCAATAAACATGTATTAAATGCAAAGCAGAATTTTGTTAATTTAACAACAACAAAAAATGCAGGTGTCTGAGGGGAGCTATTTAGTAGCACTTTCTTAAAGGTCCAATTTAGCTTCACAGTGCACGAGTTCACAGCATATTAAGCCCCAGGATACAACTATCTGTTTATTTTTTATATTCATTCTAGGCCATGTTGAATAATGGGTCTATAAAGCTCTTTCCTACTCATTTCACACTCTGCAGAATATGTTGAAAATCAAATTAAAGTTCATTTTCAAGTAAATCCATGAAGTATAAATTTAACGAAATTTTCAATCAATGGCTAAGAACATTGGTATATCAAATTTATATCAGGATATACAGGTGTTCAGCTCCAAAACCCGTCCAGCAAAGCAATGATAAAATTTTACACATGAGAAACATATGGCACTATATAAAGCCAAGATTATTTCAAAAAGGACTGTGAAGGAACTAAGATGGAAGAAAACCTTCCAATTGAAGCACAGTAATAAAGTTGAGGTTCCATTAACATTATCAATTTCAACACAAAGGGGTAGCACACATAAGATTGGAGAAGATAAAAGGTTAATAAATTCATAGTAAAAAGTTAAAGATAAAGATGAAGGAGATGTTTTGGAAAGAAGCGTGCTTCTTACTATTATTTCCCTCTTCTGTGCTGAGAAGTCATAGTCTGATGTACAGTCAATAGACAAGTGGTTCATATTTTTCATAGTGGGAAACATGGCCGCGTTAGAACTTTACTCACCACCTACACACCAAGTACTAAGCTCCTACTGTGATCTATCAAATAGAAAACACTGAAAGAATGATATCATGGGATCCAATCAACAATAATTGAACATGGATCAACTAAAAATAGGTCATCGATTTGATTCACACTCAACTATAGAAAGTGAGATCAAATATGCAGGCATAAATCCTGTTCGGTCTGGTAATCCAGAGAACAACAATGATGACTATATTAGAAAACTGGAATTTAAGACTATGCAAACTAAAAAAAGTCAAAATTACTTCTCAACACACTGTTATGTTCATAGTGAAGTTGATTTAATGGGTTGATTTAATGTCAACATAGCATGGAAATTCCTGTGCCTGAGTCCTAAATCCCAATGGTGTACAGTTCTGATGTTCTAGTGCTTTATAGGGTAGCTGAAAGCAGTCTTTTCTCTTATGAGAATTTTGACCTCTAAATATCTTTTGAATCCTCTCTAACCATGACAAACAGCAGTTGATAACATGGATTTCCTCTAATCTAGAAAATGTGTTAGAAGGCAGGGATCACAGTTTTGACTTTAGTGGTCGGTAAGAACCAGTTTCTACCGGTTGATGGTTCACTAGTACATGAACCAGACAATTTCCCCCAACCTAGTCCAAACCAAGCTTACTGCTCATTAAGCTTCTTGTACCAAGATCTATGGGTGGTAAGTTGACTGTACCCAGCTATATCGGATGGTAAGACTACTACCTGGTATTTATACCCAATGTATATTACTTAATTGTATTTTGCTCTTCTTTTTTACTTCTTATTTTCTGCTTTCCCTGTTGCTATCGCTCCTCCATGTTGCATGCTTCTCGTCCTCCTCTCTTCCACGCCTCCACCTCTCTCTCATCCATGTTCCGTCCTTCTCATCTTCCTCCCCTCTTTGTTGTTGCTTTGTTGTTGCCTCCTCTTATCTCTAGCTGCTACATCTCATCCTCCTCATTCTTCTCCTTTCTATCCATGCTGTCACATCAGAGCCGTCTCCATCCACTCCTCGACTTTACTCCGTGTTGTCAAGCCTTCTCCAGCCACTCCTCCACTTTACTGCTCCTACTTGCATAGCTCTCTCTTTTCACACTCACTCACTATGATCTGGCTAGTGATGACTGTAAACGACCACACCAACACTGGATACATTGTACAGTATTAGTACTATAACAGATCGACCAACACTCCATATTGGCATTGGTCCAAATTTTTATCCTTGACTATAGGAACTAGGAATGCCTAATTTACCATTTAATACCTTGTAAAATTTCTAGTAAAGTTGAGAACTAGAGATCTGCTTCTAATCTCAATTCAAGAAGTGATAGTAATAGATTGATGGGATGCAAATGTGGTGTAGAAATTCCTGGCATTTGAGTTCTAAATTCTAATAGCCGAATAGCACACACATTTTGATGTTCAAGTGTTTTATAATGTAGCCCGAAAGCAGTCTTTTCTCTTGTGCAGCCCAAAAGCCTTTGACCTCTATAAATCCTTCTTGTCCTCTCCAACCATACGTGATAGATAAGAGTTGCTAACATTAAGGTGTGCAACACCACCTGATATGGTTCAGTACAGATGGTGTTTATTGGTCCGACAGCATACCAGCATGGGATCAAGTGGTACAGTCCAAGGCCTGTACCACCTGTTATAGGTCTTGTACTACCCAAGTACCTGGTATGCTCACTACAGCACTTATAACGAGCAGTAACATCTTTTTTTTATATTTTGGTCTTTTTTTAGAAATTTTCCAAAACTTAATACATATCGGCCTCCTGACACATCGTGTGCCAGTACAACTCGTACGTATAACGGTCTAGGATAGGTCCAATGCCCTAAATTGAAAACCAAGGCTAACATTCATTTCTTTATATTATTCTCCAATGAATTGCCCCTACACTAAAATTAATAGAAAACAATTTCACTTCTAGCTCTAGGGTAGGATTGTAAGGCCATTCTTGTTAATATTATAGCCTTCCAACAAACTTTTCTAGATCCTCCCAAGAACTTTCCTAGTAAATATATTCTGTGCCAAAATTTTCCTTGCACTTCTGAACACAACATAAATGCAAATTTAGACATTCTTTACTTGAACCAAATAACATTACAACACAAACTTTGTTCTCTTTTTAGCATTTTTGGAGCTCATTAATATTATATCCTCACTTCCAATAAAAAGCCATCTCCTCACTTAATCCCATAATTTTATATTTTCTGATTAATAGCATATGGCAACAACCATATCTATTACATAAGATACTTTGGCTTAACACTAATGTTGGTATCATTTATGAAGTGTTTATCATATTTCAGATCCAAATCACCATCAGACGTCCAGTTACATTACCTTATCAATGCCTTTTTACAATCTCCAATCGCATAGCAAACAAAACTCTAAACTTAATGGTACACAAGTTCTTTAATGGATGTTTTATTTCATTACTCCACCTTTTTTTATCCTAAATTTCTAATACTCACTCTTTTAGAGGTTTTTATGCCAACTTCTAAGCAATTAACTAAAGGAATTTTTTTTCCAGATCAGAACCATTCTGTAGGAATTTATTGTAGCTGCTACCATATATATCTTAATACAGTATAATGGATCGCTGAACCCTGTCTGGACAAGAAAAAAATAGTCTTCCAGGCTAGTTTATGCCCTGGCTATATTCTTAATTTATAGTCAAGTACTGAACAAAATATACTTAACACTTTATTATTGTTTCCTTTAGGATCTAGCAGAAATCCAAACGCTAAAAGTTAGGCATTTGTTCAAACACTTGATATGATATCATCTTTGTTATCTAGGTGCACATCTATTATCACCTCATCTCAGTCGTGCATGGTATCATTGAGCATTTAGCATGCCTTCTCAAGTGGATTACTCTTGGAATGCCTGTTGAGAGCTCAATGATGTAAAATTCAAAACTTCTTTTCTATCTCCCCTTCTCTCCAACCCCATTCAAACACTCTAAAAACAACACCCTTTCTCTACATTTAACCTGTGTGTCTATCTTAATTCCATTTGGCTGATCAGAATAATTAGGCATATGGGAAGAAATAAGTCTGTTAAAACGTCAAAAGCATGTTCAAAGGGTGCAGAAAGTGGGGATTGCAACGAAATACATGTGCAATGAGGCAGATGCACACACACACAATTCACCAGCTTAGTTTTGATTCATCCAAATCGAATGATAAAAAAGGATCATCGAACCCAGTTACGTTTGGGTTGGTTGGTAGGTAATTTTTCTCATGAAAACGTTCCTAATTGAATGTTTTCTTCAGAAGAACTAAAAAAATATGCTTTACGTTATAACTAAAGTCGAGTTACGGTTTATTTCTCATTTACTTTATCACTCTCAAGGCTTCATGTACTCGATCAATAGACAAAAAGGTTCGCCGGATCGGGATCGGGTACACCCAATCCGATCGAGGCCAAGCCATGTAGTCGTTGGATCATCAGCGAACGAGACCAAAAGCAAGTGGAACCAAGTGGAATTGGCCATCGATAGCTTGGACCTATCCCAATAACCGGAGATTCCAAGAGAAAGAGACAACAGGAAGGAGACGACGAAGCTGTGTGCCTTCATTCCGGAATCGGGCCGGTGGCGGCGAAAAGGAGGAGAAGGATGAGACGAGAGGAGGGTATACCTGGCGGGATGCAGCCGAGACGGGCCACGGCAGACGAGGAAATCATGGGGGGAAGTCGAGAGGCGGCTTCTTTCGCAGCACAGGAGGGAAGAGAAGCAGAGGGGATGTTCCGAGACCGGAGGAGAGAGACTCGAATACAGCAGCGAATGGAAACAAGTATATTCGTTTAAATCAACACATACAGCAAAGTTGATTATATATACCGTATAACTTAATTATTTTATACATATGTACATACATGCATATAATGTGACAGTACAATGGATTTTATTGGTTGATTATATTTGTGTATTATACTAAAGTACTACAATTAATAAGCACAAAATCTTCCTTATTGGCTTAAAACATCAAAATCGAATATATGATTCATTTGTTTGTTCAAGAAAATCCAAGAATATAGGATATATATTAAATATATGAACTCACAAAGTTCTATTATCCAACCAATCTTGGATAGTTTAATTTTTGTGTGCCAAACCCTTTCATTTGAAATTCAAAATAGTATTTTTTATACTCATTAACATGGATTAGGAGTCAATACGATTTTATCCTGAAAATTTTTTTGGATGAAAAATACGAATTGAATAAGAGCCAATAATGATTACTCTGAGATGGTCTCTGAACTTTCAGAGTTGTCCCGAGAGAGGGCTTGAGTGAACTCGATCTCCTTATTATCCTAACGATATGTTAGTGTAAGGTGAGGATTTTCGACTCGACCTTTCTAATGCTTATATTAATTTTGAGTTGGGATTATAGTTTTTTTTTTATATTATGTATCAATGATGGATTTTTATACCTATGAAACCTTTGGGATGGAACCACGATCACCTTCTACGTTAGGTAGATACCCCCATTGTCTTCCACGCCAGTTCGCGGCCAGATAGAAAGATTCCCTATCAGCTCTCATTCTACACAGAAGGCTTTTCCAGAAGAACAAGAATTGTCATACAGGAACTAAATATGGCACCAGTCTTTGAAGCAACCATGCTTTCATTTCTACGGCAGTCTCTGCGGTTGAGAGCTTAAAGGGACAACCCAGACTCATCGTCCTCCTCGAGAGTGGAGGTGTAGACGAAGTAGAGCGCCCAAATGAGGGCAAAGACGCCGACGAGGATCCACGTCAGAAGGTTGTTGCTGATGCCCAAGCTCAAGCCAGTCCCTTCTGTGCTCATCCTCTCATCCACCAGGGCCAGCACCGGGCTCGACGCCCCCATGACGCATGCTGCGGAGAGGAGCGCCGCACCCATTCCCGCGCCGGAGAAGGGGACTGGCTTCGCCTCCGACGAGCACCTCACCCTTCCACTTCCCGTCCTAATCCGAGGCAGACCTGCAACAACGCATTCCCGACTCGGAACTACTTGCCACTGGTCCTCGTGCAATCAATGAGCTAAAAGCATACCGAGAACCGACGGTGAGAGTCCAGCAGTGCCCTTGGTCACGGCAGCGCTTATAATGGTGGGAGTTGGCACGGCGGCGATGATGGTGGCCATTACCGTTAAACCTGAGGGAACAGAACTCTGGTGATTGCGGCAGAGAAACATGCTTGCTCCAGGGAGCTATCTCATTTAAAGGAGCAGCAAAGCGTGCGGACAAACCACAGCCATGCAACACAAACACAAAATCTCGGCCATTGGAAGGAAAACACGGGATGGTCGGCTCTCCTCGCAGGCCTCATCCTCTCGTGGCCAATCGGTTCCTTCCATTTGGATTGTATCGTTTGTTTAAACTTGAAATCAGCAATACGAGCATCTGCGAAGATGTGGTGTAGTTGTATGAACACTTCTGCTCTCTGTATCCTGCAGCATGAAATGAGGCGACTTAACGTATGTTTTCCAGAGAAGATGGCCAAAGCCATAAAGTTGACCTGAATCTAAAACAAGATTTCTTGATGAGCGAGTTCGATAGAGATCATGTCGACGCGAGGAGTTCAGGTTGAAGATGAGCATAGTCGAGGTGAGCTCAGATCCGAAGTCCTCGACCCGTACTGCAGTAGGGACGCACGTAAGCATCTTTTCTCTCCCTTCGTCCTGTCGGTTCAGAGAGTGACGGCCACTGAGGGTTTCTGATTCCCGTTTCCGCGTCTGCAAGTGTATCTGCTTCAACCTTCACAGACGAAGAGATCTCGAGGGAGGTAGGAAAGGAAGGAAATCATAGCTTCCAAAAACACTCTCTACGTGGAACGCACAAACAACGAGGAACGGAATGGACAGGAACTACGAGGCAACCAGAAATGGACAGGAACAGAGGAACGGAACACGGCGAGCTGGGTGAGATAGGCGAACGAATTGACATTAAATGTTTCTCTATAAGATCCTAATGCTATATATATATCCTTGTATAAACAGAGAAAGAAAAAGTTAGAAAAGGGAGAGAGAAGATGTTAACGTATCAATCCATGGGAAAGGAGTATGCAAATGCTATGCTATTTAAGATAGGGTTAAAGTTATCTGATTTACCAATGTAATTTTGGTCATGCATATTTTAAATTTTTATGATTTACTGATATCTAAAATAACTTTTATATTTTAAAAAACGTAGAATGTAATCTTGTCCCGTCAAGTCTAAGTTAACAGATGTTAAAATTTAACATATTAATTCATAATAAATTATTAATATAATAACATATATAATTTAGGATTAAGATTTAGCTTATATGGTTTTGTTTATTGATTTCTTAAGTTCTTATGGTTTACTCGTATCTAAAATAATCATACATTTTTAAAAACATAGCATATAATCTCCTCCCAGTTAACCGGCATTAGAGTATACTTATGTAGCATACTAACTCACAATAAATCATTAATATAATGACATGTGTAATTTAAATTTTTTTTTTTTTTAAAAGACCTCAATCGATGACGAGATGAGGCATTATCGTGAAAACGACCATCAACAATAGCACCAAGTCGTTGTTGCCTAGTAGGGTGACGTATACACATAACCTCTCCCACGCTGATGATAAGCTCAAGAGCTTTCGAATGTTACTCGCCAGCTCTAGGGCGTATGCCATCACGTCGCCCACCACGACGTTGCCTGCCATCGTGAATGGCACCCGCTTAGATACCGACAAGTACCACCATGCCTTGTAAGCCACCTCCCCCACGAAACATGACATCATAAAGACGAAGAGCAAGTGGAAGGAGCGATTGAGCTGGTCTATGTAACCCTCATGCACCTATTCGCTCTCCCTGACCAGCTTATCGAGGAAAAGGAAGCGATGGAGGCTATAACAACTGATGAAAGTGAAGAGGCAGAGGTAGGAGACGCCAAAGGCAAAAGTAAGAGAGAGAGAGAGAGAGAGAGAGAGAGAGAGAGAGAGACCATCACGTCGTAGGCATGGTAGGTGAGGGGGTAGGAGAGGACAAAGTGTAAGGCAACGGAGACAAAAACACCTAAGAGGAGAAAAAGAGACTAAGAGACCACTGCGTGCTTAGCGTTGAATTGGTCGATACACATCTACCTGAGGCAAGACTAAAAGCTCCTAAGCTCGTTGTCAACGCAAGAGAGGTTGCATACGTATGATGCCTTGTTAAGCAGCAACAACTTTGTATTACTATTGGGGGTCACTTCCACGACAATGCCTCCTCCAGACATTAATGGAGGTCTTAAGAGTCAACATGTCACGTAAGCAAACTCTAACATCTATTAACTCAGACTTAATATGAGAGACTTACATATTATGTTTTTGAAAATATGAGTTATTTTAGACACAAGTAAATCGTAAGGACTTAAGAAGTGAATGACCAAAACCATTGGAGCTACAATGAATCTTTATCCTAAATTACATATATTATTATATTAATAATTTATTATGAATCAGTATATCATATAAATAAACTCTAACATCTGTCAACTCAGACTTGACGGAGAATATTTATATATTACGTTTTTTATAATGTAAGAGTTATTTTAAACACGAATAAATCATAAAAGCTTAACAGATTTATAACCAAGATCATAGGATTAAAATAAACATTAATCTTTTATGATACAAGCAATAAGAAAAGAAAGAAAGCTCCTGGAATCCTACTGTTCAAGCTTATATTATTTTCCTTACTCTTCATTGTGACACTGCTTATATTATTTTCCTTACTCTTCATTGTGACACTGGCGTTGGAACCCACTAATTGTCATCCACAAGAATGTTGCAGCCTCCCAAAACAAAAATAATATTTCATGTGTGCGTACTCCCAACACAAAATTAAAATTCTCTTATAAAAGGTTTATAGGCTTGTCTGCTTAAAGTTTAAAAGAGTTCATGAGAGAAGAAATATACAAGTCATTCCAATCTGTAACCTTTCTACTGTTACTTCTTTCACATTACTAAGATGGCATGATGAGCACTAACAAATTTCCAGTGCAAAACACTTGATGGCTGTGCACAGCAAGCAGTCTCTTCCCTCAGGAAGATGGATAACTACAAATGCATGAGAGTTACTACAAATCCACAGATGCGTGGAAGACACTAGAGAACAAATAATTGTCAAAGCAACCAGATTTTGTAATCAAACAAATCAGTAGATATTTGCAGTTTAAATTGCAAGAGTTAATGGTGTTTAACACTGTGTATCTTGTCTTCCCTGGACAGAGCACATACTGATACTTGATTACCATCTTCATCTACAAACTCTTTCCCTACTGGCTTCTGTGTGATTCATCCTCTTCCTTGGTGTGCCAACAGTCTAAACAATGGATACCAATGCAGAGACCATGTCTGCTCTTCTCTTCATCTCTATGATCTTTGGTTGTGAGGAGGTAGAAAATGTATTATCCTTCTTTGCTCTGCCGTGAAGGATAGCAGGAAACAAGCCGAGTGTTTGAATCACTGCAAGATCTCGACTCAGGAGGTACTGACATGGTTTCATTGAATCTTGGTAGATGATCGAACAGCTTAGAAGGAATAAAAGAATTTATGAACCAATACACTGTTTAGCAGCTAAGTAGTGGTCATGTGTGTAAATGTTGGCAATATTTTATCATGACAAACATGGCTGTGACATATGAATAAATTCCTAGAATCACATTATGATTTCCAACAGTAGATCTGAAATATCTAAACCTCTTCGATGGATCCAAGAACTACATGGAAAGTGAGATCTACTAAATGATCAACAAATAAAATAACAACAATGACAATATATGAAAATTTAGCATAATAATTATACAATTTATACCCATCAAATACAAAGCTCATTGATAATGATAGAAAGAGGGAGCAAAAAATACAGGATAATGATAAAATATCAACCTTGTGAGGAAAATGATCAATTTTCCAGGTTAGCATTCACAAAGAGTAATCAGATCAAGCAAAAGAAATGAAGATTTTGACTTCTCTAAACCAAACAAAGTCAGAGATCACTTTACCAGAAGGCAGAAAATGCCGGCACAGTCAGTATCCACCACGAATCTGATCCTACCAAAGTGGCAATCGGTTGAAGCACCCTCCGACAAATTCGACATGATCGCAACAAAAACCGCTCCATCAAACCTCAATTTCAGCAAAACGGTGATAGAATATGTCAAACCAGTTTTTTGATTGGGAAGGTTGAGTACGGTCAAGCTCGGCTGCCAACAAACGACCGCAAGCCCCCATCAGCCACTTCCTGCTCGTCCAGGAATTGGTCATCCGTGAAGCGGAATGCGGCGTGCAGTCCGACGAGCACAGCGACGGTGATCAGCGAGACCAGAACGTTCAATCCGACGTGCGTGAACAGGAGAGCGACCAGGGTGACCAGGGAGAGCGCAGCCAGCACGAGGCGGTCGTCGACGGCGCGGCCAAAGAACACCACCGGCTCGTCGCGGAAGAAGTAGAGGAAGAACCAGGCGACGAAGACGGCAAGGAACACGATCATGGAGACGGGGTGCCAGAGGAGGCTGCAGAAGAGGACGAAGAGGGCGACGAGAGCGTAGTTGACGCGGAAGTAGGCGAGGTTGCGGCGGACACGGGCCACAGCGTCGCGGTAGCCGTAAGGGCTTGAGAAAGCGGAGGGGGCAGCGAGCTCGCGCCAGGGCCGCCGGGTGGCAACCAGGGCCGTGCCGCGCTCCTTGGCGCGGGAGAACATCTCGACAGCGCGGGAACCGGAGGCGAAGGGGACCCGCGGAGAGAGCGGCTCCGCCGCCTCCTCGGGTGCGGTGGGTATGGCGCCGTAGCCCGGCCAAGGGCGAGAAGCCGACGACATGGTTTCGGGCCTCGGAGGTCCTCTGTGGAGTAGCTGAGAACCCTAACGCTAGATCTGAAATGGAGGTCTTACTTTGAACAGCGAAACGGTTTGTCGTTGTCATAATAATAGTCTGCGCAAGCCTTAATTGGATATATATATATATATATATATATATATATATATATATATATATATATATATATATATATATAAGAATTGTATTTATTATTCCATTTCAAGTTGACTTTGGTCAATCTTAAACGAGGAATCAAACAAAAGTCAAATAGACTTGGCAGATTGGAGAGATGTGCGGCTCGATGTTCTCAGTGGATGTCATGTAATACATTATATAGAATTTCTAATAGATTTAAGGGTTTAAATGGTCTCATCATAATGACTAGATAGTCTTCTTTAAGGAAAAGACAACGTGCTCAATTTGATCGAGTTAAACTTAATGAGTGTGTTGGGCATGTAACAACTGAGACGATTGGACTCCCATTTACCAATATAAAGCACTTGGCTAGATTGAGATGTAAGTTGAACCTTTTTAGTGTCTAAAATGTTTCTGTTAAATTAGCTAGATGTGTGTTGCTCGTTTTGCTTTTCATGATTACGTCAGCTGGATAAGGAATATTTGATTCATTATTCTTTAATATATTGTATCACCGTTCTTCAATCCGAATGACATAACCCGATAATATCTCCAAAAGATATCCATAAATATCAAATGTGTGTGTGTCAAGTTGTTCTAATTTGATTATATCTCCAAAAGATATCCATAAATATCAAATGTCTTCATGTGATATCTACCAGCTAATTAATGTTTGACAGAGGATAATTATCTTAAGAGAAAATATTTTTATATCTGAGGTCTCTACTTCATGGGTTAAGCTCCAAGTGTGATGTTTAAATGGTGTTGGGTTACGTTTATCTTCTAGGGACCATGGGAAGACTTTAACATTTACCCTAAGGAAGTGAATGTACTTTACTCTCTTTGCCTCGGGTAATATTGTCTCGATTTTGATGGTTTGGTTGAGGTAAACTTGGTCAAGGGCCACTTGACGAGGGGTTTGATCAGCATCTCAAGGATCCATTAGAGGTAGAATTAGCAAGAATCCTTCAAAATACTTTAGTTCCTCAACCCTTGATCTTTTTAAGAACTTAGATTGACACTATAGTCCAAAGTCTATTCAGAGTTGATAAGTTCATCAATCAACCTTAACTTGTATCATAATAAAATTTATCGATAGCGCTCCCATGCCTCCTCTTCTTTAAAAGTTATCTTCGAATCTCCTACTAGCCTTTAGTATTTCTCAATAGCAGCATCTCAAGCATATTCTTTGTGAGTTAGTGAAATGTCTCATTCGGAGGTTGGACTACCGATTATGATGTCGATCTACCTCTTCACTAGTCTCTTTGTTTATGGAGTTGAATCTTTATGCTTGCACATAAAGCACCCAATGTGATCGATAAACTCTTTCATCTACTCCTTTAAATCAAGATAGTCCTTCAAATGAGACTAGGATTATTGAACAACCGCTAATACTAATAGAGTCTACGTTGAGGAAGAAGTGTTGAATGTAGGAAACACATATTACTTGTCACCACGAGTAAAGGTACTATAGGTTGGAGGTGAAGCACTTTCACTAAAGCACTTATTGAGAGGGTCAGCGAAATGATGCTCGTGACATGTGGGCCCTCTTTTTAACAACGAAATATTAGGAAAAGATATCAGTGATAATCGGGCGAGCTCAACTTAGTTTGGACCCACATGCCTAACAGATCTTAGGGGTATGATCGAGAGGGTCTCATACATCCAATCTAATATCAACCTATAAGAAGACCAAGGTCGAATAGGGGTTCATCGCATGATCCCTCTGAAGGCCATACTAGTCATGGAACAAAATAGAAGAGAATGTAGATAAATAGAGTACGACCTTGAAAACTATGGTATAGTGGACCTTTATAACAGTTCAATTGGAAGAAATATTATGTGGTATGAGAAGAATATTAATGAGCCCTCAATCTCCTTGTGCATCTTGATTGAGGATGATTATTTTCCTTATATTTTTCTATCACTAAAATTAATTTGTTTCCACGTAAACCACACTCGTAGAATTAAAATTGTTATGTGAATATAAAAAGTCATCTAATAAAGGTTCACCTTTTTTCTATAAATTTGAAATTAAAATTTTAACATTTTAAGAAAAATAGGATCCCTTTCGTTTTCCTTATGACATGCCCAAAGAGAAGTAGAAGCCAACCATAGCCATCATGCTCTTTCCCTATCGAGCCACAAAGCAACTTTCCTTACGGGCATACCGACTTCGACACATACCGATCCCAACTCCCATCACGTATCGGATATTATACCCTATATAAGACACAACACATGCTTCCCCGTTTACATCGACGTGCACAAGAAAATAGCTGAGAAGACGATGGACGACGGCCCGAGCATTGATGCTCTTCCAGACCACCTGTTGCATGAGATACTCTTCCGATTGCCTGTGAAGTCAGCGCTTCGGTTTCGGTGCATTGCCAAAGCGTGGCATGCCTTCTTCACCGACCGTGGCCCTTACATGACCATGCAGCGACGCTCCCCCATGCACGGGTTCTTCTATCGACGCCCCACCAATCGATCCTGGAACTATGCACCCGTCTACCCTTTCAAAGATCAGCACTTCGATCTCACCCAACTCATCGCTCATCTCCCTGACTATCGGAACTTGACTCTTCTGGATAGCTGCAACGGGTTGCTTCTCCTGTGTTTTGGCAGTGTTGCCAACTTCTTCAACTGCATGATCGTCTGCAACCCCGCGAACAAGACTGATTGGGTGATCATCAGCATGAATGCCACACCCAGACAAGTAGAACTGGGCCAGAGATGCAGATTTGTCGGCCCGAGGTTGTTGTTCGATCGCCATGCCAGCCTTCCGTTCATGTGCTTCCTCTTCTTCGAGAATGGGCAGACTCATGCGCCATTTCAGTGGTCTGAGATGCGTAGGAGCCAGAAGGAGCTGCTGACTAATGAATCGCATCCTTGTTTTACGGTGTCGTGCAAGCAATCGGATCTACGTTGCCATTCAGCTGATCATGAGCTCATGGCTACCGACGTCACCATAACCGACGAGTCCTGGAACGCCTTCACCATCGACCATCTCGAAGACCGAGACATGGTGTACTTTCTCCCAGATATAAGCTCGGCAGGGCGACTAAGGCGTGTCATAGGAAAATGTGGAGGGTTCCTCCACGGTGCTTTGTGCAACGAGTGGGAACTGCGCGTCTTGATCAATGTGGCGGAGGCCGGCCAACGCGTATGGAAGCTGAAGCACACTAGTAGCTGCCAGACTCTCATCAAATGGCACAAGGAATTGCATCGACGACACAGGCATGACGACGGTGACATCGCCTACGACGTCTTGCCGCTTGGATTCCACCCTGACTTCAACATCATCTTTCTACAGATAGAGTGGAGGATATACTCTCTCCATCTCGGCAGCGGTGCCATGGAGGAGCTGGGTGGCGAAAGAGGTGCAAATCCCAGAGGGGAGAGGTTCTCGTTCTGCCCCTTCACCTGGGATCCCCTGGCCAGCTTAGGGGACAGAAAACTATACCGCATGCGGCTTGTGGATTGGGGTGCTTGAGCAAGACAAAAGGGAAGAGAGGAGCATCCATACGATGATGCCAGAAGTTATCGTCACTATCACCAGGCTTTGGTCGACTTCGTTCGAAACCGATATGAAATGATCAGTGATGGCTTACGGTGTTATGGATTTGGAACCTTTTGAGTAATAAGATGATCACATTACTATTTTTCTTGGTTCGACTGAGTTTATTAGGTGAAGAAAAACGTGGCGGTATAAATCAAAACATATCTCAGATTCTACATATTCGACTTTTAGAAAATAAATTTGATATTAAGAATAAGCTAATGCTTAAGTAGGAATGCAAGCAAGAAGATTTTGAACAATAAATATATTATAAATTAAGCATTTTTCTGTCCTCATCAGATCTAGTGAATAACATAGATAGATTGTTATACTGATCTTAGCGACTCACTACCTTAGTAGGTTGGGAGTGAAGTATCCTCAATGAATATGTGAATAACAAGTGATACACTCAAATTACTCAATTAAAAATTATGATTGAACATGAAAGCATAGATTGATTTAGGATATAAGGAATGCAAAGATGTAATTCCATATTTGCCTCTATTCTAATCTCTTATCATTCCATATTTGCTTCTATTCTAATCTTATCATTCCCTCGTAAGATTATTTTTTCGTTAAAGATATCAATCTTGGACCGATATAATTAACATATCCTATGAGTTAGAGGCGTTGTGAAGGAGTCTGCTACTTGGTCGGAAGTATAGACATGTGAAACACGTCGTTAATGTATGATAACTTGATATCTAATAAAGTAAAAACCGATGACAATGTGTTTCATGTATGAGTAAAATATTGAATTAGCGTATAGGTAGGTGACACCGATATTATCATAATATATTATAGGAGTATATTATGAGGTGATGTCAAATTGTATAGTAGATTGGTGACTCAATTAAGTTCTATAACGGTAGTGGCGATGGCTCGGTATTCAACTTCAGTGATAAATCTTGTAATTATATTTTATTTCTTAAAACTCTAATTGATTATATTTAATCTAAAAAAGATAACGTAGATATTCCATTATTAGTATTGCCTACCCAATCACCATTGGTGAAGGCATAGAGATAAAGTACATAGAGATAAAGTGATGAGTATTTACGAAAAAATTAATAATTAAGAGTCTATTTGAGGTGCCACAGGACATATTTTAGTATAAACTAATTCATAGTGTAGAGCTAATACATAAATTATGATAATTTATTGACTGCAAATGAGATATCCAGATGTGCGAAAGATAAATATTATAAGGAACTAAATATTTGCCGACATTGTGTGGGATCTATAATAGGACTGACATCATATAATTAAAGTGATTCACGGGTGGAGAGTGGTGACGACTTCTTTAACAAAAATATTCTTTCTAATTCTCTTACTAAGGCTATTATTAGATGAAACATACTATCCCATAGCCTCCACTTTGGTGGACTTAAAC